CATGAAATCTACTTCAAAATCTGTAGCTTTTTAAGGTTAGTTGGTTTCAATGCGACTACTTAGATTGGAGGGGGGAATGTGCAACATTTCTTTAATTTTTTCAATCTTTACTCAACGTTTTTTTCTTTCAAGTTACTCTTTTCCACGTCAACTTAGTCGAAAGAAAAATAAAGAGGTCGGCCAAGCAATTTCCAGCAATCTTTCCCAAAAAACACACTCTTGATTTTCTTCGTTCTGAACACATTTCACAGGGACAGACAAAAAAAATCATAAAATTCTTCAGCGCTTTTTCGTGATGTATTTGCATAAACTTATTTAACCAATTTTAGAATATTCAACGTTGAATATTCAAAATGGTCGAACTGGGGTAAATTGTGATTTGATTACATAGAAGTTCACTGTGGTAACCATGGTGCATTTTTGTTCTATGAATTGAATTCGTTGAATCGGGGAAAAGTTGTTGTTTTTACATTAAAGGAATCACCTAGTTTATAAAGTTTTGTTTTCTTGGCTTATTATATGAGAGTATTCGGTTTTCATCAAATAAAATTTGTGTTTTTTTTCTTTTTTCGATAAATAAAACAAAAATTGAGTGTGAGATACGAAAGATTGCCCGGCACGTTTAAAGTACGTTCAATATACATAGAATTTAGCAAAATGTCATGCACACAATATGAAATTTCATTCGAAATAGATGTTAGTTTTGAAATCAAAAATTGGCCGTATCCATTCGGTTGAAATAACTTCATAAAAAAAAATTAAATTGATTTTTTTCTTCGATTTTCCAAATGAATGATAACATCTCGTCTGAATGGAGTGTTAGTTTAAAAGGGGGAGTAATTTTAATTGAAACCTGGCCCCAACTAATGCTTTCACAAAATCAAACAAAACACTGCTGTTAGGCATGCAAATGTGTGTGCAAATGCGTTTGTCTATCTATGGCATAATGTGGTGTGTCCATTGAAATTGCACAGCAGCAACAACAACAACAAAAAATTGAATGCATTTGCAATTGTTAATATATTCCTAGAATATAATAATACATTGTAATTTCTGTGAAAATGCACATTTTTTTGCTGCTGCTGGTATTCCTGTCAAACTGATCGGAAGTGAGTGTAAAATATTTATATTTAAAATGGTTTTTGAATTGAAATCGGTTCATGTACAGTTTATTGAGTGTGTGTGTGGCGTAAATATGCGCATAAAATGGTACAAAGTAAACGATAAAAGTGCCTGTAAGGATTGTAAGTTGAAAATGGAATTAAAACCGCACATACACACACATGTATTCGTTTACATTGGATATACATGTAACCTGTCAAAAGTAAAAGATAATTAGTGGAAATAGTAAAATGAAACTCATATACGTATGGTCGGTGCGCGTCTATCGGCTCAAACCAATTCCTGAACCCAAAAATATGATAACCGCATTCAATAAACTGAAAATAATTAGAGACAGCCATAACAATTATATAGAAAATTTTTCGTGTTTTATTCGCGAGTTATGCTCTCTTTTTCTATATGGTGCTCTGTATTTTTACATCTCGTTAAAATTGTAAATCATTTGCAATAAACTGCATCAACACAAATACACGACCAGAGATGAATTGTATTTTACTGTTGATGTAATTTATCATAAATATTACAACAGACTGAAAATAATTAGCGAATAACATACAAAACAAATTCAAATTAGTTGCCGCGATAATAACAATAATTATCATTATATGATGTGTAGTTTTTTTTTATTTTGTGCTGCAATTGCACTGCGTACCGTGGTTGTGGCGGCTGTTTTGTGGCGATTTTTCTGAACATTTTACAAAAGCCAACATACTTTGCATCTTGTTTCCGATCTATTTTATGGAAATTTATCAATTTAATAATTTGTTTATATATTTTGTGCATTGTTACAAATGCTGATGCGGGCCAGATACAAATATATAGAATATTTTTTTTTTATCATTATTATTATTGTTTCACATTAATCGTTCTTTTATTCTGACATTCTACCTAGTGGTTTTTTGGGTTTATTGCTTCATTTGATAATTTGATTCCATATTATATATACTATATATGTAATATTTTGTGAATAGTTTGTACAATTTTGGAAAATTATGAGAACCGAACAACGCATTGTGTGTGTATATATTGATTTGATTTGCATAAAAGTGCAACAGCGCAGCAGCAAAATCGTCGCTAGCAAAAAATCAATTTCTCTTTCTATCTCACTCTTTCTCTTCGTGATTGTGTTTAGTGTGATTGTGCGTTGATGTTGCGTACGTGTTTTCATTAAATAGCCCGTGTGTGCAGAACATGCGTGAGCCATTATGTTTCACACAGTGCAACCGATTAAAAGCACCACTTTGAATTGTGGTAAGGATGGATTATAAATGCTTAAATGTAGGTGGAATAAATCAAAACGACCAAAACGACAAATAGAAAGAAAAAAACAACAACGTGATGATGATGATGATGATGGTCGGTTTCTCACATCAAATAAACACAAACACCACCGTCATTTTCATATTAAAAACATGAATCCTGTTTACGTAAAATTTAAAATAAAAAATAAGCACACATACGGATATCAAAATGAGATAAATCGAAACATGTTTATTTGAATTGAAATAAATGCATAATTGCATTTTATAATACCACTCAACACTTTATCTCCATCGAATATATAATAAATGACTTTTTATTCCAAACGCCAAATGGTAAGCGACTCGTCGAAGGGTTATAAAGTTAATTTCGTTCAAACGCGAAATATTTACGCATTCGCTGTGTGCATTCATTTGATTTGAAAATATAAACATTGATAAAGGCTGATGGAAAAGCAAACATCTCTAATATTCAAAATAAAAATAAAAACACAAATCAAACATTCGCAGTCAAATATTGCATTGGCCGATACAAAATTAAAATAGGATGAACCAAATTGAAATATACATATATAGTTGGAAATGTATTTAATTCATTCATCAAAAATTAGCGGCATTTTAAAAATCGTTGTTGATAGATTTAAAAACTAGATCACTTAGTCAAAATTCTAGGATCTATTTGGTTGTCGTGTTTTTTCTATGTGTCCGACCTCAAAATTAGAGAGAAACCATGCAATAACCCTTATTGAATCTAAGCCTTTACAATATAGAAATGTGTGATGTATAGAAAATATATGATGGAGAGATAGAGAGAACGATATATTATAATGCACGCATACAGATGATGTGTAAATGGTGGAATATACGCCACATGTATACACACAAACACAAGCATATAGTCTGAAAATGCATTTTGGACAATGCTCACAAAGAGATCTATAAAACATACATACAATCGAGCGATGCACCCGAGAGTAGTGAAGTGCATACGTGCATTACACACATTAACCAGAAATGGTGCTGGACCGTCGCGCAGGATTTCGATAACCATCCATATGTGGCATATGCAAGAGAAAGATATTTTGTGTGCCATACGTACAGCGTATATACGGGCGAGGATGCGAGTTAGTTAGCTTAAAGAGAGCGAGAGAAGTGACAGCAACAGCAGAAAATACACAGCCGTTTTTCATGGTGCATTGACCCTTTCTGGTTTTCAATTAAATATTAAATTCAAAACACGGAACACCATCCATACATATACGAAATATTATATAATAAAATGCGTTTCGTTGATTACTCATTCCCAACCACCGTCATACACACATTCACACATTCACTCTATCTCTCTATCTCTTTTTCTTAATGTCTGTGAGTACTCTGTACATCGGACTCTGGTCTCTGGTATCAAAAGTGGTGATTCAACTCTTTTGTTAGATGAAAATTTAATAGTTTTATTGTGATTTCCACTCAAATAGACCATTGCCGCATTTTGACAATCGACACATATGACACGCAGCGACAGAGAGAAAATATCATTTTTATGAACATAACATAAAAAAAACTTATCGTAAATGACATCCTGGCTATAACAGCAAATATTATCTTGTTTTTTCTTGTTTGTTATTATTTAGCTTTACATATAGAAAATTTATATTCCATGTGAATGAACATTATAATTTGTTTTTTTGACGACTCGCTTTTTATCACTCCGAATAGATTTATTTAATTTTCAGATTCATTTTTAAGCGAATGATTCATTTCCAAAATGCTACAAGAAAAGTAGCAAAAAAAAAAACTCAGGAGATTCACTTTCGGAATATTTTTACAACGAGAAATGGATAAAGCAAGTGCATGTTTAATTAGGTAGCAGGCCAAAAGTCGAAATGCGCTGTGAAAATATTCATTAGTTGTGTGCCGTTTTTCTTTCAATTTAACAACGTTTTTCTACCTAGGCACATTTTGGATCCTTTCGCCGCTTACTCTTACGATGTGCCCATTTCGATTCCTTTAATCATTTTCCACGGCATGTTCGCACTTTATTATTATTATCATCATTTTTCTCTTCTCGTTTTCTTTTCGGTTCCAAACCACTTTGCATCAACGACAATTTGTGCAAACCGTTTCATATTTTTCTCGAAACATTTTCCGTGATTACACTTTAATTAGATTTTCATGCATTTTCATATTTTTTTATATGATTTATGTTGACTTGAATATCGCTTAAATTTATAAGCTTGAACCGAGCAAAGAAAAAAAAAATAATTGAACGTACTATTCCGTACGAATTTCAGGGAATAGATTCAAGCCGAAACCGAGTGATAATGCATTTTTCATCTGTTTGTCTCTCGTGTAAAATGCGTTTTTACCTTTACATTTCTTTTCCTTTTGTTTATCGTTTTACACAAAAACCGAAATACATTTGCTTGGACTTCTACGTTTTCGTAAATTTTCTTTCATTTGGCCAACTAATTAGTGAACCTCTTAAACATTTATTTGATTACACTTGAAATCAAATTCTCTCATTTTTACATCCAAATCGTATTTTGAGTTGCCAAATGCGTTGTAGGTGATGGAATTAAATGCAAAAATACAAAAAAAAAACTGCAAGTTCGAACTGACCTTTGATGTATGCGTCCTTAAGCTGGACTCTGTAGCGAATCCCTTACCACAGATATTACAGTGAAATGGACGATTTTTGGCTCGTTCCACCTGAGCATCATGATTTCGTAAATGCTGCTGTAAATTTGACAATTGAATGAATGCTCGACCACAATCAGGCAAGTGACACTTGTACGGACGTTCTCCTGAAGAAAGAAAAAAAAAGAGTAAAATTACCATTATTTTCTTCCACGAAAATCACATATGATAAATAAAAACGGTCGTCGGACAATTCATAATTTTTATTAAATGTTCTTCTTTATTTTGTAAAAGATACACCATTTGGATGTATATCCATAAAAAGACCAAGTAAACTCTCGACCGTCACAATCATCATCACCATTTAATTGTAAGCGATATATTATTTTATTTAAATTAGTTGGTTTTCATCCGAATCGTACACATGACACAATCGTCAACAGCTTGAATTTATTGTTTGAGTCGGTCTCATAAGCTCGTCTACCTCATGGAGCCCGTTGCATCGTTAAAGGGTATCAAATTCAAATGTATTCGAAGTCATTTCCTGCATCGTTTACAAGTAACTAACTGATTTAATATCTGTATTCGGAGTTAGTTATGCAGCTGACCGCTATTTAAATATAAACAAACAAACAAGCAAGCGAACGAACGAACGACCGAACGAATAGACAAACAAAAGTAACAGCGCCAACAGTTATTTCAGGATTCAAAGTTTATTTTAGTTTAAGAGAGAAAAACAATGGGAAAAAAACTGAATATTTCTTTAGAACAGCGATGAAAACCAGCAAAAAAAGTACGACCAAACCACATTGAAATTTGTTTAAAGGAGAACTTTGAAATGGAATTTTTTCGGATATTTCTATATGCAAAAAACCTTCACAAAAAACAACGTGAACCTTTTTCTTAATCGAAAAAAAAAACCGAAACCAATAGAGAAAAAAAAATCCCCGATTGCGAAAAAAATGTGTAATTCGATCCGAAATCGACCTGTGATTGAAATTAGCACAAAGAGGGGCTTGGAAAAATTAAAGACCGATTAACTGATCATTTGATACAATCGGCAAATTATATAGCATGAACGAAAAAAAAGACCTACTTGCATATCAAATGTGTGCAAATGAACGGGGGTATTGAATCAAAGGGCTGAATAAAAAAATGAAGTAAAAATACTGCGAGAAAAAAAAAGAGTTGAAGCACATGAATTCCCATTTAACGGTTGCTTAAATTAACATTTCAATTAAAAAGTCTCTGTTTTAGCGCATCCCATACCCAATCGGTGTGTGAGACGGCGTAAGAGGAAAATGGCATTTGAAAAGCAGCTTCGAGCTGTTTTCCATTCATTAATGCACGGTACGAAGAGAATGAGTTCAAACTCACACTCAAGCAACCGGCAAAAATTCACTTAATGCCATTGCTCTGGCGCTTACTAATGACCATTCTGTATACCATCCCGTCGCTGCCTCGACGATGGTACACAAATGCCTTTGCCACAGAATCAAATAAAAGCAAATTATCTTATGTGTATACATTTTTATAAACAAATGAGCTCCAGAAAAGCGCACATTGAGTGCATCTGTGCAGTCAGGAAGTAGATACGAGCTAAAATGACAAAAACACCAGCGAAAAAGCAACGATGACACAAACAAAAACAACACGAAGTGGTCGTCGTTTTTCAAAAAGTGTTTAAGGTCAGCAACACTAAACGTCACTTTCGCCACTTTACATTTTAACAAATAGCGAATAAGCGATAGAGAGGAAAAAAAAGAACTGGCCGCCAAAAGACTAACGACAAACAGCAACAATACGAGTTGCTACTGAGAATGAGAGCAAGAGAAAGAGGAAAAAGAACGAGAGAAAAAAAAACAGAGTGTCGAGAGACTGAGTAGAATATCAATCTCACGTAAACGATGTGCGCAAATTGTGATTTAACTCAAACCGCTGTCGCGGTCACATCGCAATGCAATAATCCGTTTAATATAGACTTATGAAAATGAACACGTTCGCTGGCACAGCGTCCAGCTTGCCGCCACGATACGGATGTATCATCGGAAAAAAACGATGCAAAAAAGCTGTTAAAAATATGTAGATTTAAACGGCGCGAACACAGAATGCGATAGAAAGAGTGGAAGAGAAAAAAAAACTGCATGTCGTCAATGGGAACAATCGGAGCGCGGGGGCAACCTGAAACACGATATAAAAGGGACTGCAAAAAATCGCAAATAGTGATAACAGACAACACCAAAAAGAATGAGGAAAAAAACCAGAAGGTGAAAAAAAAGTGTGAAACAACAACATAAACGGATATTCATGGAAAAATCGAAGAAAAAACGCAACCAAAGTGAAACGGTGTACAAAGCGGCGGGGGAATGGTACCACTGACATGCACGAGTCTAACGATTTTCGAATTGTTGACTTAATCCAATTTAAACGAAGCAATGAAATATACACACACACACCACCACCACCGACAACAACATCAGCAGCAACGGCACACAGTAGTAAACAAAATGCTGCCTTTGTTCCAAAAAAGTGAATTGGTCAGAATGGAATTCGCTGGCAAACAATGACCGCGAAGCATACGTCATATCTGCAATCTCTCAATTCGGTTGCCCTTTTTTTGCATTCCTGTGTGTTTTTATGTGTGGTATTAGAAAGCCAACCAGAAAGAAATTCGAACTGAAAAAAGGCCCGTGACGCCAAATGAAAACAATAAAAAAAAATCGAATGGAAAAAAAGTTCGGCAGTAGAGAGAATTAAATAGCATCATAAACTGCAAACAAAATGTAAAGTGAAAGAATGAGAACCATTTGTGCCGCTATTCAAATATAAAGTAAATGCTCCAAAAAAATATAACCTCGAATCACAAGAGAGAAAAAGACACACTTCGAATACCAGGATTATATGTGCAGGGAAAAAAATTGACTGAATCGAATGCAAACATGTATGAATGGGGAGTAGAAAGAGCATATGGCGCCTAACTCGAGATTTTTATCCCACGCATAAATAAACTGCCCATTTATGCGATTCATATGTGTGTATTTTTTTTTTGGTATATTTGGAATCGGGCGCGCGATCAATGGACATGAATACACAACTAAAAAAACACGCGAAAAAACGTAGACGAGAGAGATATGACAGACCATTACAGCCTTAAGGGCTATTTCACGGTTTGTATCGTACTTTCATGGCAACAAACAAACCACAACCAACCAAAAACGAAAAAAAAGTCGAAAAAAACTGCGTTTTTTTATCCACAACAAGAAACAGATTGGTTTGCTGAATGATGATAGATATTATATGTGTTGCATATAAATAACGGAGGGCCGAGAATGATGATGAGCCAAAACATGCAATATGTTTTGGAATGAGCGAGAGTAAAAAAAAGCAAAAGAAAACCAAACAACATAAAAACAAATAAGTGAAACAAGCATTGAATATGTGAACGACCACATTGTATGTGCCGCACTCTTTTTTCACCATGAATTGCGACAAGCGAGGAAAGGAACGCGAGCAAACGAGGTAAGAGAACTGTACAGGAATTCATATGATTGTGTGTCTCATTACTTTTACCTCTTTCTTTGCTTACACGATCTGAATGCGCTTACAACATTGTTTATATCATCAAATCAGGACACGGCTGGTGTTTTTTTTTCCTATCTCTCTATGTGTGCTCTTTTTCTGACCGTTTTTCTGTGTTTTTCACTGTTTCCCATTTAACACTTTGCATGTGTTTATCGAAATATTATTATGATGAACATGCTGAGCTGGCTGAATTGAAACGAATTAAAGCAGGTCCCAGTTGCACAACACCAACAATTCAACCATTTGATTCGTTTTGAATGCATGGCAACAGAATCTCCATTCGTTGCATTTCACAAGATGTTAAATGGAATTTTATTTCGTAAATTATAAAATCCGATTCTATTAATGTGCTCCGCTCGGTTTCTAGATGAACCGTAATAATTACAAAAAAAGTGCAGTGATTGTTTCTCATGTTCTGAATTTTAAGTTGCAAAGTAATCACCACTTGTACGAGGCATTTTACTGAGTCTCCGATATCTCATTTGGCATGTAGAAAAAGTGATGAATATTATTAAGACCGTTGTTCTTTGCAATTGTACCTTCACCGAACCCATACAATTCACGTTTTTTAAATTGCCAAATGTGTGTGGCACGGTCCATTGGGTAAACCAACCACTAGGAACTTGTGAACATTTAAAAGCTGTCACATACAGCACATGCTCATATGAAAAACACTTTTAATGCGTCGTAAGTGTGCGATTTAATTTTATTTGGGTTTAATCACACACACGAAAAAATTGTGAAAAAGTTAGTGGATAAAATGCCACTCCACTTTTAAATAAACTTATGTTACCCTTTTTATAACAGAGCCCACCACAGATTTCGTTTAACTAAATTTTATCGTAAATGAATGTCTCATAAATTTTAACATTCGCCATTGCTCAAAATGAATCTTGAGACGAACATCACCAAATTAACAAAAAAAAAAATCATTTTTAAGTGCATGCGCGACTTCAAATTTAATGCAGAATAACAGCGAATATTGTCTTTCTCGATTTTTTTCATACACATTTCGAATCTATTTTGATGCAATTCGAAGAAAATCGATCAAAAAAGCATAAATTTTACTTAAATGTTTACAAACGTAAGCGATTGTAAGTGTTTAAAAAATTGGTATTTAAACACGTTTGAATTGGCGACAAAACATGCGGAAGAAAAGTTGTGGGGAGACAATTTTACAACACATTACGTGATCAGAATTTGTGGCATTTGTTTTTTTTTCTCGTTTGTTTCATTCAACCGCTTAGCTGTTGGGAGAAAGGGTAAAGTGGACCGCGATAAATTTTATGGTCGTTACACTTTTTTATGGTGTGCCTGTCTCCAGTTTCTGTTTTTCTTTACATTTTTTTTTGGGTAATAACGGTGCAACAATGTCATGTGGCCGAACACATAAATATAAATATCATCTGCGGCAAGTAATTGCATTTTGTTGGCACAACTTTGAAAACCATGGAACAAAATGTTGAGTATTGAGACCTTTTTTGAGAATGCATCAAATATGCAAATACTTTAATTTTTCTTTAAAAGTATGCATAACATCTTTGCGAGTCAAATATTATATAATCTGTTGAATATGTTCGAGTCGCGTTTATTAAAAAGCATGAAATTCGAAATTGAATTGAACATTGTAAAGGAATTCGTCATTTCGGTCGATATTTTCACCTCATCATTCACCGAAAAAGAACCGAAAGAAAATAATGATGACTTTGAAGCAGAGAAGGGTGCGATACAAATCACAGTGATCAACTCTACCGGTTAGATTACAATTTTCATTGTTTTTTGCGTGGTATATATATGTTCCGGAAGCAAAAATTCAAGGTTAAGTTGAGCCGCTTGACAGCATTGGTTCAATAACCCATTGCACATCATCGTTTTCGGGTCGACGAAACATACCAATACAATGCCGTCACAAAACAATTGGAAAGTATATCTTGTCTACCCTTTCAATGTTATTGTTACCGGTATAAATCAGTCTTGAGGTGCGCTAATGAAATTCAATTCGACATTTTTTGTCCACTTTTTGTTTACTCATTTCCTTTGCATTGCTCATAACATTAAGTTTAAAACATTCTTGTCTACGGCGAAGTGAAGCTGAACTAAACTCGAAACCGATTAACGAAAAGAGATTTGGTTTTGAACAGTGGAAAAAAACCCGAACACATGGCATACATGGAACATTTTCAATTAAATCAGTCGCATTTAAATGAAATTGTGGATGTGAAGTGGTCGAAATGAATTTTTTTTTTATACAGCATAGTTTCATTATTTTGTGACTGATTTTGTGTTGAGGTAGTTTTAAAATCAAGTTTCCAGATGAATTCCGAAGTTGAAGAAATGTCTCCAAAACATTTTTTTTTTCAACGATTAACAAAGTTTGAAATAATAGCGTGGAAGGAATGAAAAAAAAACCTGTTTCAACCCTTTCATAATAAGGAGACGGAAAAAACTCTCACGAAAAACAGCAGACACAAATCGAAATAAAAATGACACGATACAGGCAAAAAAAAACTTCATGGAACCCAAACAGATAACGAAAAAGGTAAGAAAATATCAAGAGAGTGAGAGAAAGAGAGAAAAACCTCGTTTTGTAATTATGAATCCGATTCACGGCATTTTTATCCATCAACAATAAATACTTCTCGTGTTGCTGTGTGTGTGTTTTTTTTAAAGTTTCTTGGCATTTTATCATGTAAATTATACAGGACAATTCTTTTTTTTTTTAATATGATGGTTGTAAGAGACGCAAAGTCTGTGGTGATATCTTTGAGAAACGAAACAGATGTGACCGAAATGAAAACGCGCATCGAATCTTGAATATATTTTTTTCTTCGTTCATTGACCAAAGTGAATTTTTCAGCTAACAGACGAACAGAGAAATAATCAAAAACATTTGGGAAAATGTGCTGTTTGGGTGGTTGATGCGTTTTTCAACTAATTTTCATAATAGATTGTACCACGAAACATTTTACTTCTAATCATTAGTAATTAAACGCCCCTTGCCACTCTAAACACTCATGCACACACCATTGTCATGGTCATTGAGATATTACACGAAGGACTATGTTTGCCGTGTTTCAAAAACGATTCGAAACCAATGAAAAAACGAAATTGATTACGCGGCATCAAAGAAAGAACAAAAAAGAATCACCAACCGCAAGCAAATCCATAAAATTGCAAAACGAACGTTCCATTAAAATGTTGATGGTTTAAATAATTAATGTCAGTGGAAAAAATATGAGACATATCAGACACAATGCTGGCTGTCGGCTGGACAAAAGATACTTAAAATCCATTACTAATGCAACAATTATGCGAGTGGCGAAGCGCGTGGTAATTGCTTTTGTTCAGTTTTTTGTATTATTATTATTAATTTCATTGTTTTCTTGTTGAATAATACAACTTGTTTTTTTTTTCACATTGTCTAGGAAACAAAAGAGAGGGTGAGAGTGAGAGAGAAAACGTTTTGAAATATGCTACCGATACAGTTGAAGAATTTATGGCACGGAAATGTCTTGATTAACCAATTTATCGGAGAAAATTTATAATGTAAGGAACAATTTACAAGTGTGAACAAATGCATTGTAGTGATGCTGGTGTGAAATTTGTCGGCCACTGATATTTCTCTTTATCCCAATATTTTGTTTTGCATTGAACACTGGTGAGAAGTGGAACGAACAAAAAAACGTCCATTTATGATGAAACTCAATACCATTCACTAAATGTGCAATCATAAAAGGAGAAAGAGAGTGGAAAAGAAATGTTCAACGATAATTTCGTTAACAAAACCCATCGAAATATTGACGAAAGCAATCAAGAGAAAAAAAAAGAGAAGTTGGCAAACGGGAGCAAAAAAATGGACAAAAAATGAAGAACACCGAAGAAAGGGTTTAAATTAAAAATTATGAGCTTGACAATGACGGAGATGGGGTAATAAGTACTTTTTTTTCTTTCGCTATTCAGTATTCAACTAAGCACATGGTATCCCATGAATGTGATGTGTTTGGCGAAGCAACCAAGTGGATAGCTGGTAATGAAATTGGCATTTCTGTATCATCATATGTTTTTTGGATGATTGGATTATGGATTTAAAGTTTTTGTTGTGGACAGCTGAGCTTCATGATGATGTTAACGAGCGAACACTTTTGATTTTAGCTTGATTTTACAGCTTTTATAGTCTCT